AAGTGTTTAATAAAGGTATAATTGTTTAAAAGGAAGGATCATATGTGTGACATTGGTGACAACTAATCACTAAGGTATAACTGAAATTAACTGGATTTATATTGAGTAGGTAAAAAATATGTATTGAATGAAGTACAATGCATTCCAAAAATACCAAAATAGCTGTAGTGAAAGTATATTGAGAAGTATGAACAGTAGAACAATGAAAAAGTTAAAGTAATTGAAGTGGATGTATTCAAAATCCAAATTACTCTCAGTCATTGAGGTTGTCAGTGTTTCGTCTGGAAGACAATTAAAAGTTAAAAGTTCCTAGTTTCCTTCCAAGTATCATGAGAAAACTCTTATTGATGTGTTTTTCAACAGTTTTCCTATTTCATAGTTCTAATTATGATTGGGATTTTATCCATATGATTGCTTAATACTTAAAAGAAGATGAATGAAGTTTCTTTTCAAGTGGTGATAGTAAAGCTCCGACAATGAAACTAGGTATCTTTAGTTCCATTTGATTACTCCATGCTCTCATTTGATATCATTGAACAGATTGCCTATTGGGAAGCTTGTATTAGGCAGTCTAGCCATGCATCAGATTCCAATTTTTTGTTGGTCGAGGTATGACTTATTATTTAATAGTGTTTTCTTCACGGAACTCAGTTTGATACTCGTGAATACATTGTTTAATGTATAAAGAGAGAGAACAATAATTAAATATGATCTTACATGTCTATGATAAAATTAAATAAGAATGGGACGTATTCCGTGGTGTCACCGTGTGAGTAATGCAGAAGTTAGGTGTAGAGTTTTGGGGAGAAGAGGTAAGTCAGTTGACGAGGTTATGAACCTTCATCGACTGAGATGGTTGGGACACGTACTACGTAAGCCTAGTCACCGATTGCCTCGTCATACAATGTTGGCTGAGGTGGATCCAGGCTGGAAAAAGGCCCGAGGTGGCCAGACTAAAACATGGCACCAATGTATGAAGTCTCTGACTGTTGGTTTAAGCCATGTAAGGCGATGCAGACTGGGTGGTTGGGGTCCACGGGACAAGAGGAACTAGTGGTTGGAGACCCTAGGTGATATGGCTCAGAACCGAAGTCAGTGGCGCAGATGTATACACACATTATCCTCATCTTAACAACGCTATACCAAATCTCACTATCTTGTCACTCCTCTTTCCTTTCTTCTCGTACTTTATATTTCTTTTGACTGCATTCACTTATCTTCATCCTTCACCTCACTACCTTTTTACTTGATGTGCTGATATGAGGTGTGGCAAGTGGGACCGTTACGCAGTAATGCCTGGTCCTATGTTGATAATGATGATGATGATGATGATCTTACATGTAGCCAGAACGAATTTAATGTTCCCAGATCCGCTGAGTTGATTCAAAGTTTCAGTTCTGTCACAGTTTAGAGTGTGAATGAGATCCATACTAGGCGATCGGTATTTTTTGAGACCTTCCTCTTCCAATTAGCTTTATTAACTCATATTTTTTTTTCACTCAAAATAAGTTTTTATAGAGTTATTTGTGTCTTTTGTTTTGTTACAAGGAGACTATTGTAACATGAAGATACATTTCACTTACATACACATAGACGTTTTTCTTGTAGAGGTTTTTCAATTCACTGCAATTCTTCTTCAAATTTCATCCTGAAGTATTTAAATTTTTGTTCTTTAAAACAAATTTTAAAATATTAAAACAGACAAAACTTGTTGAAATTCAAGTATAGCTCATCCTGTGTACTTTTTTGATAACCAGACCTTTGAAAACCACCATCTATCCTACATAATACATAAACTTATCACTCCTCTTATCCTTCATAGTATAATCATAGTTACTATGATCGGTACTCAAGATACCTAATAACTGAGAAATGAAGTATAACAAAGGATAATCATGATATTTACAAAATAAGTTCCCATCATGTAAATTTGAACAAGACAATATAATCGAATAATGTTGTTCTCAATTAGATCCTCTTCAGGCTTTATTCTAATACAAATAGCCTAATATATATAAAATTAAACTAATCATGTAGATTTGCCGGTTGATGTGATAAATGTTTTATATAACGGTGGAGATAATAATACAAATAATAATCATGAAATTGATAAAAGTGATAAAGTTGACTAAAGCACATGCAGTACAGACGATAATGATGATAAGAACCAAGATAGCATGACAGCATGAAAATGTAGACACTTCAATAATGAAAATGGGTCAAAAGCTTGTGAAAATGGGAGTTATGTAATAGTGAGAGGCGAGGTAAGTGGATAAATAAATCCTAGGCAAATACAGTAAGTATACGAAAGGGGTGAAAAATCAGAAAAGGAGTAGGAAAAAATAATAATAGCGGAAACTGAGTGATAAAGTTATTAACTAAGTAATCCCTGGCCAAGGAAGAGATAAGGAATGTACAAACTTCTTCTAAATACAAAGACTAGGAATATTAGCTCGAATTACTACAACTTCTGCTATGTGTAAAAGACGAGTTGGAATGCCTGTTGAAAGATGAGATGGTATGCGGTGTATAATCGTGAAAGCAATACAAATAATAGTGACAACATAAGTAGAAAGGAAATCAACACCTCCATTGTGATAGCATACAAGGAAGGAACATCAGAAACCATACGTAGGATTCTCAACAAGGTTGGAATTAGGGTGGCATTTAAACCAACAAACTCACTTAGAGGTAAGCTTTGTCGGCTAAAAGATCTGATAGAACCAATTAAGCAAAATAATATAATCTACCAAATTCCATGCAATGACTGTGAAGTCAAATACATAGGTCAAACTAGCCGGTCGGGGTCAGTTAGATTAACAGAACATAGGAATTTAGCTAAACATAGAACGGCAGACCCCAATAAGATCAATAGCCTAGAAAAACACTCAGCCATTGCATTACATTCATTAACACACAACCACACAATAGGGTGGGACAAAACCACTGTACTTAAGTCTAATATAGCTAGGTGGAGATTGAGAGAGATTAATTACTGAATCTTTGTTCATCGAATCCACACCCAACACATGTAATAGGAATGACGGAACAACTATACCAGAGATATGGAAAACTTTACTACCAATCAAGAAACAAAAAAACAAAGAGAGATCAGGTGACAGGACTATAAAATCAGATGTCGAAAGAAGTGTGATTACATTGATATGATTATGAGCAATAATTTATGCTCGAAACGTAATCAAGTAAATAATACTGTATCACTGTGCGCTTTATATCAAATAAATAAATCTAATATGGAACTACATTCTACCACCGTGCCCAAGTTTTTCACTTATATTAATGTTCTTTTCTACCGAGTGAGATAAAACTCAGCTTCTTATGGATTTTATCTGTCCCTTTCCCAACCATTACATTATTGTTATCTCCACCATTATATGAAACATTTATCGCATCAACCGACAAATCCTTATGATTAGTTTAATTATATATATATATATATATATATATATATATATATATATATATATTAAGCTATTTGTACTAGAGTAAAGCCTAAAGGGGATCTAATTGAAAGCAATATTGTTCCCTTATATATGTCTTGTTCAAATTCACTGAAAACAGAAAAACCAGAATACATGTGTATGAGATGATTGACACATTCTGCTTCAACCTACTCGAAACCTATTCATTAAATGCAGATAGTAATCTCAAAAAGTATGTAGAAAACTGACAGATTCTGTAGTCATCTGAGTGTTAAGAAAGAAAACATAAGACCAACTTCAGTACATTGAGGTAATGTAATCACTGGAAAAATTAGTGTTTTAATTTCCTAACTTTATTTAAAAGTTATATTTTCTCAAAAATATCAAAGTTTTGAATCTGAAAAAACACTCATTTTTAACGCCTACAAGGATAAATAGTTCACTAATACTCTGTTTTTTGGACTTTTGGAATTCATGAACAAATGCATTTTGAATATTCATTTTCTCCTTATCATTATTATTATTATGAATGTGATACAATGGATGATAAATGGCGAATATACAAAAATCTACTTATACAAAGGCATTTAGAGATTTAAAATGGACTTTTAAAGTTTAACCAACGAACAGTTATACCTATATATATATATATATATATATATATATATATATATATATATATATATATATATATATATAATCTTAGCCACTGAATGCATATAAATATATTCATTGCATAAAAGTAAAAACTTCTTGTTATTATCCCCCTGAATGTGTTATCAATTCAAAATTAGATTTATGTTCTTAATTTGACCAATCATAGAATAACACGCTTGGTCAATGTAATTCATGCACAATATTAGTTTATGTGCACAATAGTCATTTAGAAACGTTACCTCAACAAAATTTCATCAGTGTGTAGACAAAATGTGTGAATTTATCTATACATTTTTCATAATATATGAAAATCCGTTAGTTATTCAAGTCAACATAATTTAGATAGGTAAAATTTTGAACACATAATAAATATTTGCTTTCCCCTTTCTTTTTAGTATACTGATCTTGTGCCTATATATGTACGTACATATAGTGGACAGCGTGCAACAAATGCACACATGAATGAATCTACACCACCTCATAAAACTTCATTTCCAAATGTCTGAACAACTGAACATTTATTAAAACTTTGCCAACATTATTCATATCCAGTGAAAAATGTGAGTGAAAGAAGGAAAACAACACCCTATCAACTATTATATAGGCTAGTATTGTATATTGTATAACATTTTAAAAGAACGCGTAGATTACATAAATTGTGTTTGCACTGCACATTACTGTTATAGTCTATCATGACACCGGAACCAATTGTTACACACAAATCAACACATACACACGTGTATAGAAATATCTGCACATTAGTTGAAGCTGATGCACCATTAAGTTAGCTCTGTAGTATATATGTGTATGTGTGTGTGTGTGATGTATTTGTACTTAGTAGTAGTGTAAGAAATATCAACGAGAGGAAATATTTCATGACATGGGATTCGCCTTCTATTCGCTTATCCACCTATCTGAAGTTACTGGCTTCTGAATGCATACAGACAAAATTCGGTAGTACATTCGCTGAAAGTCACAGGGATGTTTATATATATCACTGTTTTTATTACTAATATTGTTATTAGTAGTATTTTCATCATCCACATGATCATTATGACTATACAAACTAACATTCCATTAATCTGAAAGTGAAGCCTAATTTCCAAGTCCTGAAAACTGTCTCACTGAAACAAAACAAATTACAAAATTTAGCCAACTGATGTAAAATTCAATAGACGAAAATATTCTAAATGTGCACTTTTGTGTGAGTGTGCTAGTATGTATCTATGTGTACATATAGATTTTTTTTTGTAAGCATGTGTGTGTGTATTACTCCTACAAATACTTTCTCTGCATAGAATGAATTACTGGTAATATGATATTACGTGTTATCTTATAAGAGAGTCAACATTCAAGAGTGTACTACTAATTTCTATCGTTTAACATGCTACAATAAGCACTTTGTTTTATTTTATACAATTATCAAATGTTCACTTGAAAAGTGTAATCTATGCAATGTATTAACACTGAGTTATCCTAGATAGTAAAAACCCAGTGTTTACCCTCAAAAGTGAGAATTGTTTTGTGATTATCTAATCAATTTAACCTGCTCATCTACAAATTTTACATACACATACACGTATATTGACAAAATTAACTCACTAACAAATCTTTCCGGGTGATTAGTCTTCAGGATATGACTGCTGATATGTATTTTAAATTGAAAATTGCTCATTTGTTTAGAGTTATGTATCAGTTTGTTGTATACAGACAAAAATCAAAATTAATTGGAATTATAGTGTATCTTTTACTGTTTCAATTGATTGTCAGTTACATCAGTTCAGTGCAAGGGATACGATGGTTGTGAGTTACATTTATCAAGTTTCTCAATTTTCAGATTTAAATCATTCCGTGATACTATGTTCTTTATTATTGTTGTTAGAATTTTTGTTTTTTATCATACCTGGTAGGAGCAACACTTACTGAGAGCCAGGTACATCCAGCTGACGAATCCTAAATAGGACGAAATGCACATCCTGGATTCCACTGCTAGCCACTATCCATCTTTACTATACTCGAAACAGTTGTAAAAACCTATAAGTTGGGGTGCACAATTAATAATTTCCTTGTATTCAGTGTAATTTATAGGTGTAATCTTTGAGTACTGTTTTGAAATCAGTATAACATACAAATATTTTGTATAAAAGACTATTTTGTGAAGAAGTTCGACCTCCTGTTTATCCATGTGAAATTAGGTATTAAACTAGTACATTGGCCTAAATAGTAGGCTTCATTCATTCATTCATGTGTTACAGATTCACACCTCAGTTAGCTAACTCGGGCTTGGTCAGTTCAGAAGCATAGCAATTCTGCAAATAGACGAAGATTACAGTCAAATATACTGATCTAAATCGAAATGAACTCAGTAAAGTCATGCAAACTCGTGTAGTAAGCAGTAAGCCATTATGCCACGGCTAATGATACTAATTAACTGCCCAGATCTTTGCAGATGGAATAGTGTTCGAACTAGTGACCTATCAGTTGAGTCAAGTGCCTAGTCCAATGAGCCATAGCTGCATGGTATATTAATATGTGCATGCTTTTCATAGACATATAATTCACTGGTTTGTGCATTTAAGTTTGAAGCAAGTAGTTAAAACTTCACTCCACTTACTTTATTTGGAAGTGAATGAGTGATGTCGAAAACTTCCACTAAACACGTTTAACATACAGCTGACTAATTAACATTTATTGGGCTACTGAGTCGCATGAGAGTCATGTTTAGAGCTGTCTATGTGTAAACGTTTTGTTTCATATGAGTTGTTAGCTTGTAAATATGAATATTTCTGAGTATTTCTTTTCAGTACGAAGTGACATCAAACTAAGAGCTGATAAAAGCCTTGAAAAATTATTTCTTTTTGCTTCACATATATCTGAACGCATATTCAATGGTGCATAATCTCAAACTCTTCTTATGCGTAACTCGAAGCCTTCATATTTTCTACTCAATGTGATGTTGTTGAGAACTTGAAGAAGATTATACACTAAATCAAAAATCTTATCTACAGTGATTCACATAAGTTTTTTTGATACAGAAATGAATAAACGTTAGATATGAAGACAAATTGCCCCCGATGGCACTAAATGACAGTTGCACGATATCGTTAACTGATAGGTGTGGGAAAATGGATACTGTTGCATTGTAATTCATGAGCTGAATGACCACATATGTTGTCACATAATCTGAAAGTCCTTGAATTAATTCCTCTGGGGTCTTTGGTGCACATAACCAAGAAGTCTCATGCTAGGTTAAAACAGATGTCCAGGGCTCTCAGATTTTCAAAGGTTTTCAAATGGATCTTATTCCATAGTGAATACTACCTTAAAAACATACATATATGTGTGCATATTGTATGAAACTATTCAAGAATTGATTGGTCTTTCAACTTTGATGATTATGCATAAATTTCTCTCAAATACTTAGGTCGAGTATCAATGACCCCTTCTAATGTTTCTGTCATGTTCACTTCTGAAATTTAGAAGTTATTAGTTTAAAGTCATTGAAAACTGCCTGAATAATCAGGTGGGATAACATTGCTTTCTTTAAAAACAATCACTTTAGTATTTATCACCAGAAACTGTTTCAAGTAGGATTATTTGGCCAAATTAGGAACTTTGATAAACCATCTATCATCTGCTGATCAACCTATTTACTTTTTTCTTGTCAAGTTTGGGTTTTAGTATTCAGGGTTCCATAAAATTTATAACTTTATGCAAGGATAATGGTGAAAGCTAAGAGAAAACTTGAGTTGTAGAAGGAACTGTAGCAACTGGTGCCAACTAACGGTTTAATTTAGTAGATGCAGCCGCTAGTTGGACATACTAACCACTTTAATCACGAAGTTTTTCATTTGACCATCATGTGAATGAAATAGGTGGGACGTTATGAAATCTTAGCCACTTAATTAGCTAGGTTAGATTCCCCTTACCAAGCATTTTTGGAACTACAGGATTGATCAAAATCTCAAGATAACTTTGGACAAGGATTTATGTCCGAAACGTAATCTAGCTAATGATACTGTTTCACTGTATTTCACGTCTAACAAATTAACTAAAATGGAAATACTGATGTTATTAGAGAAACTATGAAGTTGACGGATTACCGATGGGATTCCTGCTTGTATTTTTAAAAAGTTTACTTACATGCAAATTAGCCGAAATATTACTTTATTCACCCAAATATCTACAAAATAATTTTAGGTCAAAGCAAAGCTACTTAAACTGAAGTAAGTATAGTGAAACGTTAACCAAGAAGTTTAATTTTCATACAAGTTTTGTATAAAAGTCAATCACATTTCAATATTTAAGACAAAACTCTTGTATGCTTCGTTACTTTAGTTGTACTCCAATTATACTAAGAACTACAGTTTTAATCCTAACAGAGAAAAATGTATAAGTATTTTGTAAAGGTGAAGTTATATCAAATGTTTAATCCCTTTACTTAAAAAGTACTATTTAGCAAAACAGATTTCCATATATTAGTAGTGATGCTTTTGAGCAGGTTTCCAAAATTTACTTATGACTTGTAAACGATGTTTACCAAAGATTTGTCCCAGTAAACATGAGTAAATTAGTTCAAAAGTTATGGGATTTAAGTTACTTAACATCCAGCTATAATATTTACTTGTTCATTGGCTAATAAGATGTGATGAATAGGGATTTCAGTAGGAGATTTTTTATTCATTTGAGTTACTGACATGATTTTGTAGATTCATAGATCTTTATTAAGAAATGGGATAAAATATATTTCTGCCTATTAATCAGTTGTTTAACTTTGATATGCTAAATTTTTATTGCTTATTTTGTCAAATAAATGTACATTTTGCTGCAGCCTATGCTGCGTGTAGTATTAAACTGTCAATTTTTATAATAAACCGACTCTAGTCCAAATTTTAAACATAAATGTCACAATAATGAAAGGAAACTAGGTTTCATTTTGTGTTTTTATGATGTTTATAAATATAATCTTGTCATTCATAAAGTTATGCAAATCAACTCAAAAAATTAGTTGCTGTGATAAAGTTCATATAGTTCATCACCGTATAGTTTTATGAAGATACTAGGCAGTAATTGCCATTAACACAAACTCATTATCGAACAGTGGACCAAAAAGGGGAAATAATTTTTTTATTGCCTTGACTGAGCAATGAAGAGTAAGTAACAGCTTGTTGTCGGTGGCGAGTTTCTGAGCTTGGAGGACACATTACACATCTTACTGACAGAAGTATATCACACAGAATACTAGACAATGGTGCATTAGTTACTGTTTGTTTATCGATCAGTGTTTCTCATTGGCCACTGAAGGAAGTCATTCGTGGCCTGGAAATCTCTCTTGATACTGAATAAAGTTGACGAAAATTATTACTTTGGACAGGGATAATTCTTGTTTAGGCTGTAGATATGATAACTTTGAATTTGTTAATCACCTTGAAACCTAGATCCAATAGGGCTTCCAAATGAAGGTCTGTAAATAACTGAGGATAGTTCAAAATACTTCAAAGGTGAAGGAAAATTTGATATCAGCAATACAATAAAGCAGTGATCAAAAAATAGTACTAAGAGATGACAATGTTACAGGAGTCACTAATAATTACAGATGACCTGAATACTAGAAAGTTTCCTGAGTCATTATTCTTTGATTTGGATGGCATCAGAGTTTTTCAGATTTCTCCTTCAAAATTGCTTATCACATTGATGAAAAGTGTGAAGCTGATTGAGTTGAAAAGTAGGGTGTAGTAATTAAAGTGAATAGGTAGGTTGAAACGTAATCGCCGTCTACTCGTCAAGGACAAATGATATATCCTTAATAGCCTAGTGAGATACTATAATATTAAAATAAAGCTGGTTTGTAGCTTTTAAAGCAGATATCACTGGGTGGGTATTCATCACGGACTGACATCAATTGGAGGAACACTGGGAATCTGGGAGCACTGAACACCTGTCTAGTTCTAGTATAGGACTCAGCAGTGCATACCCATGACCCCTCCGGAGATCGAACTCACCACCTTCAGGTTCCGTGGCCAATATGTTGTCATTGAATGACTGAGTCGGAATCCAGTAGTCCATATTTTCAACTTCTCTCAGTTCACAATATAGCGTGACCATCACCCAAAGTCATCGTTGAGTATTTGTCCTCATGGCCACAAAGTTTGCTGGACTGGTCACGACTTCTCATTGGAACTTCAAGAATCACCTCTCGAAGCTAGCCACCAATGACCACTTGATCAATTAAATTAGGGTAACTTCGGGGATTTAGTGATTTTTCAAGTCGGTATTCAGTATGGACTGACGTCAGTTGGAGGAGCATTAGAAATCTGCGAGCACTGGACAGTTGTTTCGTTCTAGTATCGGACTTCTCAGCAGGGGATTTTCATCCAATAACTGAATGGTAACGTGCTGGCCATGGAACCTGTAGGTTTCAGGTTCGATCCCTGGCGGGGTTATGAGTGCGTACTGCTGAATAGTCCCATAATGGGAGGAAACAGCTGTTTAGTGCTCCCAGGTTTTTAGTGCTCCTCCAACTGATATCAGACCATAATGAATACCAACTTGAAAAGTTACTAAATCCCCGCAAATCCACAAGTTCACTAGTTTCTGCCCATTTCCTTATGCTCTATATTCTACTGATGCTGTGGAGACTCTTATTTTTAAAATAAAGTCTTCCGTATAAACCTTTGCTTTACCCAATTTTGTGTTTGACTGTAGTGGACTTACTAACCATACTTAACTAGAAGTGTGATTAAGCTTCTATATCAAATACAAAATCATTTTACCCTATGGCTTTTTGATAAGAATTCTCATAG